TGGAGACTGGCCTGGCCACGTGAGCTTGAGAGCTGTTGCTCTCTGTGTGCTCCGATAAACAATTTAAGGTTTCTGGTAAGACCAGGGACCTTAATCATTAAACTGCCTTTAAGTTGGTCATCTCATCATTAAAATTCCAAATAACTTATCTACGGTGTGGGCGTTTTTCATGATTTGGCACACAGTAGAGCAGGCAGTGTAACCAAGATGTTTTTCATGTTGAGCAAAAACTGTAACAGATGGAGGTAGTGATTATAAAGCACTTATTTAAAGTGTTAGTAATGAATCAGTGTAGTTTGAGGCCGAGTCAGTAATCCGTACAGAGGGGGTCTGAGAAGTTGAAGCGCAGTCTGACACGTGCTGGGCAACTGAAGAGAACTGCTTTTAAAACCATCATCCTAGCCAAGGCCCTGTCGAATTTTTCTTAGCATTAAAGTCTTAAAAGTGTGTGCATGTGCGTGTGCGTTTTCCTTTTTGTAAGAACTTGAAATTGTGTGCTATGGGCACCAGAACTCTTGAAATCTATCTTTTCAGTCGTGACAGTTTTTCAGTATTACTGCTGTGAGATTGATTGATCTTTGAAGAGCTGAGGAAAACTCACTGGCTTATGTTGAATTTCTATAATGCAGGGACCAGATAGATGTAAGTGGTATTTTGGGGGATTTTTTATGTGTAAGAACTTAAATATGTAATTGTTCCTATCCGTCATGCACAAATGCTTTTATACAAATTGCTTCACAAATTGGTAAAACTTTGAATAATTTTTCCCAGAAGAAATGTCAATACCCCCCACCGCCCACCCCCCCGCAAGCTGTTAGAATTAGACTGTGTGTTGAAAGGTTTGGCGGAACTGACGTTCCGTAACTGTACAGCTTTTTTTTTTTTTTTTTTAAATCATGATTCCTTTTCTTGTTTATTTACAGATAACTGAATATGTGCAGGCAAGAAAATGTCCTAATATTTCCAAATACAGCGATCTACAAACAAAATACTTATCTACTTTTCCTAAAAGACACCTTTTTTTCTACAATTTCTGTAGAAAATTAGGTGCGGTCCTTGTCTCCCAATGTTGGTTTAGCAAAGAGATGGGGAGGGGAAGCAGCTGTTGTAATCCTTGAACTCCGCATTTAAAATCTTTGAAGTCGACACTGTGGTCTTGTACTCATCCTCTGCTGTTGTGTGTGGTGTTGGTGCCAGCACGCAGCATCACATCAAGGCTACCTGAGTGAAGGGAAAACCCAGCCCCCGGGTCACCACGCTGCGCATGTGTGTGGCAGAGTGACGGGGAGGTGGGGGAGAGTTGGGGGGAGTCACTGGCCACTGCGACAGCTGGAATGTGGCGCTATGCCCATGGCTGTGTGCAGATAATAGCACTCTGCAGGTGGGGAATCCAACATCTAGAGAATAGTCATTTGCCCAAGGCCACATAGTTCATGGTTGGTGAAAATGAGTTTGAACCCATGTGTTCAGCCTCTTAAATCCTGTGCTGTTGCCACCAGATCAGGTGCATCCTAAGGGGCTAAGACCTCAATCTTTGACCGCTGGCTTTTTCTGATGTGTTTTTTTTTTTTTTAACTATTTGTAAAGCTTCATATTGGTGTTGGTGTAAATGGGAATTTGCATTGCCTTTAGCGATGTCTCAGATTGAGGCTGAGGGATGGGGGCAGCAGTGAACAATGTTATCAAAACCACTTAATGTAGACAAGGAGAACACGTGCGATGCTTTGGAGACAGTTTTATTTCTGGGAATGTCTTTTCTTCGTGGATAGGGATGGCAAGCTATCGTCATGGGGGTTTCTGAAGTCTTGCTGTGTTATTTTCCTCTTCCTCTCCTCTGTCTTTTTTGAGCTGCGAAGGGTTTGTATGATGCTGAAGGCCTGGTATGCTTTTCTTATCTGTGTTCTCGTGACTGAAATATTTCTAACTCTTAGTTTAAGTATGATATACACATAGAGAAGTTCATATATCATAAGTACACGGTTTGGTGTATTTTTACAAACCGAACACATCCAGGTAAGCAGCACGCAGGTCGAGAAATATGGCAGTGACGCCTTGAGAGTACCCATCATGTCCCCTCCCCTTGGCTGGGATAGTTTTAACTCTTCCGTGTAAACCTCACATCATTCCTCATCTTTTAGGTTTCTTCCTGACTCAGGCTCTAACATTATTTTCAGTCTTTTTTTTTTTTTTTTTTTGAGGCGGGGAGCGGGGGGAACTTCACCGAAACTGGTCTCTTCCTTCTTTCGTAATCTCATCTCTTGATCAATCTGCTTCCGTTAAACCAAAGTGTTCTGTGTGGCTACAAAGTCATAACTCGAGGGAACGTAGGGGTTGGACTAGAACATGAAGCCGTGGGGTGATAGCTAAGACAGCCGAATTCCTTGGAATTTTCAAAACCGAATGACAATTTGGTTGTGAAACTCAACTACTTGTTTGTTAAGGTAACAAACAAGCCGCTTTCTGCTGCGAGGAAGTGGTGATGGGAACAGCTTCCTCGTTCTCAGAACTCTGATCAGGCTCTTAAAAATTACTCGTGAAGTGCGTCAGCTTTCATCTAAAACCATAGCAAATTAAACGCAGTCTTCGTAGGTACAGACTCATCCAAATATGGTTCTGATCCCGGCCCGTTCTCTGCTCCACGTTTGACTCACTTATGTTAATTTGTGAGTTTTAAACATTTAAGCATTTGAATAAAAGTTAATTTTTAAAAATATCTCTTAAAATATACCATCCTAGTTCCAGGGCTTGCGAAAGCTGACGCACCATGGAGCGGGTGGGTGGCAGGACCTGGCCGCTGACTCCCAGGGCCACCCGGGCTTAGAAGGGCTTCCTTCCCCTGGGCTTTTCTTCTAGCAGAACCAGTCTTTTCTTAAGTTCCAAAGTAAAGAGGGGTAGAGGCAAGCCCGGCAACACTCTGGCTTTCCAGAGAACCAAAACCTTCACCTTCCACGTACTCATGCGGTACAAAGTAAACCAGGCGCGCCGCTTCCATGTCCCCTGCCTTCTCGCAGAGAGAAACGTACCAAACACCATGTAATAATTTTGTTCTACAGAAAAACATAGTCCTAAATTGGTGCTGGATCTGGAGTCGCCCTGGAGTTTTTTCACTCGGGGGAGCATTTTTCGGGGGCGGGGGGTCGCCTCTGCCTTAGGAAAGGTGACACGAGGTGTGTGCTGCTCTTCTGAACTTCTGGCACGAAACAGGTCTTTCTGCAGGGCTACTGGTCACAAGTTAAAGGTGGCCTTTTCCAAGTGATTAGTCTGTTTTGAGGCCCAAGTGGGCCATAATCACCTACCTCCTGACTCTCCTCTGTCTTCCAAAAACTTTTTAGACTTGGTATACAACTCAGCATTTCAGAAATTTTAAAGACGTTTTGAAAAATGTGTTTATAAGCCTAAGATGGTGGTTATTATTATTAGAGGATGATGTTTTATAAAATAAGTCCTAGGCCACATGTTTCTTCAAGCCCTTATTTTTGATAGATAACAGAATTCTAGCCTTAAGCAACTTTTAAAATAGCTCCTTTGCTCGTCATGCTGTTGAGTCTGCTGTGATGTCTGCGGGGAGCCAGGCTCCCTCTTGAGGTCACAACATCTACTATGATGCCGGTGGATCAGCCTTACTGCTTCGGGACGGATGCCAGTGTCCTGATGGCAAGGAGTACCTTCAGAGCCCTCTCCCGCCCAAACCTTCCCGCTGTGTGTGCTTTATGGTCGTCTGCATCAGAATAACTGCTGGCTACAGCACAGTTTAGTGTTTTTGAAATGCAGGTTTTAAAATTACAAATGTACTTTACCTATGTTAGTTTGTGTCATCACAGTATTTAATAAAATTTTTTAAGGAAAAACCAGTGATGAAAAGAAAACAAGTTTTCATCACTGAAGTTAATGAGATTTACCAGAAGCTGATTTTTTTTTTTCAGAGCTCTCTGTTCACATTTATTAGCTCTTGCAGAATTTGCCAATTTTGCATACTTAAGTTCAGTGACCTGTGGGTAGGGCCCGATTACAAATAGGCCAGCATTACAAATAGGCAGCAGCATAGTAAGACTCAGGGCATCACCTCTGTTCAAAAGTGAATTCGCAGAGGCATTATTTAATGCAGCCTGGCTGTTCGTCGGTTGGCTGCCAGTCTTTTCTACCCTTTCTAAAGTCCTGCCTCACTTAGAAATGTCAGTACCTATACATCACGCCCTCCAAAGCAGCCTAGGTTCTATTTTGGCAATTAGTGTAGCATTGTTCAGCATCTTGAATAAACCATTTTGTGAGGAATTTTACCAACTTCCTTTCAGAACTCTGTCGCGTAGTGTGGATGACTCCCACTTACTAGTCCATCCGCATTTTCCCGTGTTCACTGCTTTGTTGGGCTCACATTTCTATGTTCTCTCTTCAGTTACCGACTTTTTTTAATCCCTCTGCCCTTTGCCTTTTGTTAGAATTCTAGAATTCAGAGGATGACTTTTATAATATATCTAGATCTGTTCTCTTTCTTATACTGCTCTACAGATGACAGAATCGTGGCCTAGCCTGTCTGTGTAACTCAGAGGGAGCAGCTTTAGCGAGAACTCTCATTGGGATCTGAAAATCTGCGTGTGATTCACTAGCCCTGGGTAGTCAGGTCACATTTCCAGGCTCGTTTCCACTCTGTAGAAGGCAATGTCAGTGTTCGCTGTTTTCCAGAATCCCTTCTCCCAAACTAATCTTACTTTTTCCATCATTCTCTCTTCTGCTTTCCTACTGAGGGTTTAATGCTAAATGCTTGGGATCCTGAACATCCATTCCAATTTATTTTCCTTTTTAATTTTAATTATCACAGTTGAAATAATGCTGGCCGTTTGAAGTTTCAAGAAGTCTTGCCTCCACGTACCTGTTAATAATTCAGATGACGCCTTTTACAAACAAACCTAAACAGCAACATGATTAATCATCTTAGTGACTCTCTTTTTAAGAGTGGAAAGAAAATGATTGTTGTTTTTGTTTTTTTTCTTATTTCTTTTCAGGTTTTGAATGAAGAATGTGATCAGAACTGGTACAAGGCAGAACTCAATGGGAAAGATGGCTTCATTCCCAAGAATTACATAGAAATGAAACCACATCCGTAAGTTGGGCTCTGCCGATCTCCCAAGGGCCATACCTGCCTATTTCAAATAATGTTTTAAAATTGAGATCACTGGGCTGGCTGTCATACTTTTTATTCTGTCTTCGCAGGGAATTGATAAAGCATGTTGATTCTGCATGTTAACGATAGTATATAATGATAGTATAATAGTCAATAATGGTATGTTTTAGATTGATAGTTGCTAGTGATCTTTAAGTAATGAAACAATTGTTTCATTTAAAACAATAGTTTATATACTATTACATAATAATAGTGTGTATGTTTTAGATTAATAATAACTGTCAGTGATCTTCAAATAATAAAACAGCAGTTATGCAGGTCCATAATTTTTCTATGAAACCTTTGGGGCCAGACATTTCATAATTTTACATTTTTTGTTTGAGAGAGGATATGTATCACATGACTTTATAGTGATATGTTTGATTTTCCTGTGGGACCATATCTTAATAATCTTTGTATCCCCAGAGTACAGTGCTTGGTGTATATCAGGGTCTTAGTGAATGAACGTTCGTTATGGTCACCGCCCTTGCTCTCCACTTACTGTCTCCACTTCAGAGAACACAAAATGTTCCTCCATTCCACGCTGCTGAGAGCCATGAACTTGTTTCTTTCCTTTTTTCTTCTGGAGTCCTTCCTGTTTATATTGATGTGACATGGTATGGGACATCGGGGGCCATTGCAGACCCCTGTTCTCCCACCGCCTCTTTCTGGCCCTGCTCCTGCCCCTCAGGCAGTTATTTTCGTACCTCGTATGCCACGGAGCTGAGGCTTTCGGAGGTCAGTCTGGAGTGCCACTGAAACATGAAGAAACGGTAGATTCTTTCCGTCTACTTGGTTTAATGCAAAGTGACAAGTACGGCTTTTAGATGACTTGATCCACCTTGAGTTCCAGCCCATTTGTCCCTCTCCCCCATTGTCACTGCCCTGATGCGAACCTGTCACTTCTCTTCCCCCAAGTACTAGAGCAAAGATCCTGACCTTCCCTTATCTTACCCGGAGCTCGGTGTCAGAGCTCGACGGGGCCTTCAGGGTCGTCTGGCTTACTCCTCGCCAGCCTGCCGATGAGGAACGCTTCTGGCGTTTCTGTTTCAATGCCAGTCATTTACGAGTGTAGTTCTCATTATAAAAGACTCACAGTGCAGAACACTTTGGACCAATATGTGAGTTCCTCTCCATACACGCTCCTCTTTCCGAGGCAACCACACTAGTGATTACATGTGGGCCAGTGCTACCTTCTGAACTGAATCTGTTCTGAAAAGATGATTTGCTTTCTATAAAACGAAGCAAATGATCCAGGAGCTTCACCGTAAAGCTATATGTTGGTTGGTGGCTGGCTGGCTGGCTGGCTGGTTTGCGCCTTGGTCAGTAAACTCTGACACAGTTTTTATTATGTGGCAGAGAAAGTGCCGGGTGCTGGGAAGCTGGGTTCTGTAGTTAAGTCATGGTATAACAAAATGGCCATGTGGTTAACATGAAGCGCTTTGAGATTGCATCCAGGAAGCCTCAGCCTGCAGAGAAATTGGTTTACTCTGCAGTTTGGCGGGGGGGGGCGGGGGGGCGGCGCGTGTCTACGCTGCATTTCTATAGTGAGGACACTGTGAGGTCCCCCAAACTTCTTTTCAAAAAGAGCTAGGCACCTTATAATGGCTCAATAAAAGTTTCATTGAATGATTTACAAGGTGAAAACCCATCTAATTTTTAATGTATTTTTTTCTAGTTTTTGTTTGTTGGAACTTGTACTGTCTTGCATCTTTGTAACTATCGTAACTATAAGTCCCCCCCCAAAAAAAAATTTTTTTTAGATTCCTTGAAGAATTTGTTTTCTGCTTTTACACTATAATTGAGCCTTGCATTTGCACTTAGTAGCTCAGCAAATATTTTTCAGTTGATACTCGGCCCAAATTCTTGTACAAAGGCCTAGATTAAGTTGTTCATGGAATAAAAGCCAACAGCATTAAATCTTCAAAGGCATGAAAGAGATTCCTGGACCCCTGTCAGTGGGTTGATAATGCTCCTCTTTTGAGGTCTCTGTAACATCAAATTGGGGGTTAACACGCAGCCATGCCTAGATTACTGAAATGTAGTCACTGGTGGTAATAACCAAGAAATTCCAAAAGACGAGAACAAGATCTTTGCAGTTGCCCTGGGACGTGTACCAAGCCCAGCTCTGCACTCCATAGCCACTCGGAGTCAGTATTTGCTTCAGGGGCTTTTGATGGATTGCATCATGGAGCGCACCCCACAGGGAGGAGTGGTTGGGTGGCGGTCAGCGGCAGCAAGAGGGGTGCCTTGGTGCACGGTGCATCCTCCCTCGGCCGTGTAAGCCGGGTAATGTATGCATATCTGTTCCTTCAGTCCATCTTCAGAACAGAGGAAGGTTGGCTAAACTTTTTCTTTAACGGGCCATATAATGATAGGCTTTATGGGCCATATGCAATCTGTCATGACACATGCTCTTCTTTTGAATTTTTTGAAACAACCCTTTTTCTTAAAAATGGTCTTAGATTGTGGGCTGTACAAAAAACAGGGCAGATTTAAACCGAGGTCCATGGTTTACAGACTCCAGCACGAGATCCAGTGGTAACAAAATCACCTTAAGTTCCTTTTCATCTTCATATTTCCAGACTGAAAGGGAATTCAGCAGAACATCCTACTGCCATTTTTATATTAAATAAAATGCCTGTGGCTCTGCACCCTTGTTTTCCTTCAGGTTGTTTCAGGTGACATAGGCATTTCGAATCTGACTGTTAAAACATAGGAAAGACCACCTTCCTCAGAAAGCTGTAGTTAACTGACCCGATTGAGAGTCGCCTTTTCGGAAGAGTCACTCTCATGCCCGGTCCTCTGTCCTCATTGTAAAGAACCTCGAATAGTTGATGGAGAAGCATCCAGCACTGGTGTTGTGGTGGCATTGTTCACAGACACAGCTGAAATGCGGGAGTGCCCATCCACTCCACGCTCTGAGAAAGGAAACCATACTGTACCTGCGTGGCGCTCGGCCTCACCGGCATATTTCATGCTACATCCAGAAGCGCAGTCAGTGTCACCTCGTGGCTGAGGGAGAACACGAAGCACAGGCCTCCCCTCCCTTCTCCCGTCCCCACCTCCCCAGACCTTTAGTTTTTGTTAGGAAGAGGGAAGTTAAAAACGGAGTATGACTTATTATAGCATATGAGTTAACAAATTAAACACAGACTACAAAACGATTGTTGGCACTGGTGTCGCAAGATGAATTGTAGATACTGGGGGAGGATCCAAATATGTGCCTTCATATTAAATGCATATGGGTGGGAGCCTATGGGATGTAGTAAAGAATTAAATTGCAAAATAAGCCGCCCCTCCCATTAGCTTTCTCCCTTGCTGTTTGTATTGTAGTATAAACCCACCTTTTTGAACATTTAAAAATTTTGACTGTAGCCATGTAGTTACACATAAATATCACCATTAAAAGAAGCTAGTCAAGGGATAAACAGTATAAAATGCGGTGGAAGTGTAGGAGATGCTATTTAGGTGTAGAGAGCAGTGACTGTTTCCTCGTGTAGAGTGATGGCCCGTGATGTTGTGGGTCATACTGGGGGACGGGGGGCGGGGGAGGAGAGGGAGCCAGATTAGTAAAAATGGGAGCAGATACAAAATAAATCTTTAAGTGGTCTCCAACTAATTGTTTTATTTTTCAGTCTGGGTGCTTGTAACAGGGGTGTGTTTACTTTGTAAAAATTCCAGTTAGTATGCTTTACTTCACTACAGTTTTCATTTTTTAATTGAAAATAAAATTGAGGTAATTTTAAGTTGGAGACAAGAAGACACTGCAGCCATATCTACCTATTTGGGCACCATAAAAGAACGTCTAAAATCACACGTAACTGCCAGCAGTTGCCGCCTCTGGGGAGTATGAGGGACGAATCTTGCTTTTTATTTTCAGTTCATGCACATCTAGGGTATTTTATATTCATTACTTATACTTTAAAAAGGAGAAAAAGAGAATGACTGTCACGGGGAAGATCTTCGAGGGGTTGGAGGAAAGCATGGCTGTTGAGTAACCTCCCTCCCCGCCCCCCAGTTAAATGTCTGTGCGTGCGAGTGCGTTCAAACCTAAAAGCACCAGAGATTCACATAGAAAGTATTGAAATGGTCCCAGTACTGTTAGCTGTCCTTTCGTAATTGGAGATCATTCTGTTGTGTTAAGATGTGATTTTTCTTATGCGGCCTGACTGCCAGGCATTGGAGCACTTACCCTTGAGTTATTTGTAGAAGCAGCAGGAAGGTAGATTGTCCCAGCGCCTCAGCAGCTTGGTGATATAGAAGCAAAGTGAGAAAGACACAAGGAGGTAGATTTAAGAATGTTCAAAGGTTACGCGTGGCAGCTTCTGAATGTGCCCTTCCTAGCAGCTAGCCTCTCTGATTTGAGAATCGTGTATTCTTTTAGAGACCTCTTGCCAATGCGGTTGTTGATCAGTAGGATAAGTACTGAATTTAGATTTATAATGTTAATGGACTCTTTGGTACCTTTGTTTTTATGGTTTGCATCTTTAATGAATGTTAGTTACTGCATAAGGTGTCCAATGAAGCAGATTGGTCTTTATTATCTCTAAGTAACATTGTTGCTTTTTAAAAATAGACATTAAAGACAACTTTGAAAAGAGAACATTGTTTTTGCTATTCATCCATCCTAAGTAGTAATGGTTTTTATGTGAACTAGTTAGGTAGCTGTAACTTTAAGCTTTTTGTAAGTGTTCTCTTTCTCCTGGTGAGCCACAGGCCAATTGCTCCCAGTTTTCCATGAATTCACCCTCCTTTTCTTGTGGCTGAAGTGGATCAGCACTGGGAGCAGAAGAATCTATAACTTGCTCCAAATGAAAAATCAAATTTTGCCACTAGCCACCTATGCACAGGGTCAATGATGATATTCCTGATGGTTCCCGAAAGCTAAACCGAGCCGTGATGGCAGAGACGCCTTGAGAGGAATGCCAGCCTCCGTGGCTAGCAGAGGCTGGCCTCTCCCAGCCTGACCTCTTCCCTTTGGGCTGTTGGAAGGAGCTCTGTCTCCAGCTCTAGGCCTTTCTGACCCCATTGCCCTAATCCCACTGTAGCAAAGCTGTGACCTTATGAAATGGCTGCAAGAAGGAGCCTGTCTCCCCTTCTGCGATTCAGGTCATCGGCCAGGGCTCCCCCAGTGCCTCGCTCTGAGTCAGTGGGGGGCCCAGTGGGCTTTGGCACAGGAGGCCCATTGAAGTGTCTTCCTCTGTAGCGAGTGGCCTTATGAGTCACTTTCTGGAGAGCGGGTAGGGTGAAGTTGTTTGAAGGAAGATGGTCCCTCTCTTAAGGGAGGGCCAGACTGAACGGCGTGATGGGGCACGTTGAGACCAGAGGGTGAAGAGGGAGGCCCTTCCCCTGGCAGGGAGCGCTCTGTTACTCACGTCTCGGAGGCCGCATATCCCGTTTCTTTGTGGGGAAGCAGATGTTGACTGGCTTGCCTTCCTTCCTTAGGTGGTTTTTTGGCAAAATCCCCAGAGCCAAAGCAGAAGAAATGCTTAGCAAACAGCGGCATGATGGAGCCTTCCTTATCCGAGAGAGCGAGAGTGCTCCTGGGGATTTCTCCCTCTCAGTCAAGTAAGTATTTCCTGCCTCGGTTGCCCGGACTCCTGTCTCCAGCTCACCTACACTGTGAAGCCCTAGGCCAGGTATCTGGCCGCACACACCAGAGGCTGCCACCTGGCAGAGGTTTAGCCTAAACAGTGTTTACAAATCAGAAAATTTCACACTAACATCCTAAATTCTGGCTCCTCTTAAAAAAAGTGCCCCAGCTGCACAGGATTTGGGTTCCCGCAGCGAGCCACGCCGGGGTCTGAGCAGCAGCCATACGTCAGCTGCATGCGCTTGCGTTTTCCCTACTCCCCACCACGCCCTGGTGTCTGCACACCCAGCTCGCTCCTCACGGGCACCTTGACCTCTGTGGGAGCCCTGCGGCGCTCTAAGCACTGACCGATGGCCATCTCAGAGGCCTTTGCGCACCTTCACCAGATATCTGGCTTAAACCTGCCAGCACCATCCTAGGCCTCTCAGTAACTTTAAACCACAAGGGTTTGGGCTTTCTGCTCCCCGCCCATGGTAAGCTTAAATGTGGAGGGGAGCTGGTGAGCAGGGACCGGGGAAGGCAGGAGTTCCACCACCCCGGGAGTCACGGAGAATATAAATTTAGAGCTTAGAGGATTCTCAACAAGGATTCTTAGAGGATTCCCCATCTGTGACATAAAGAATCAAATTGTCATATGTACTTTTCTAGTTAATATATTATCACAGGAATCCCTTCCCTAGGAAGCTCACAAATCAGTTAATCATTTATATGATAAGTGATTAGGTTAAAAAAATTTTTTTTTTTTTTTTTTTTTAACGAAGGCTATAAGACAGTTTATTATTTGCCATTTACAAACGCCGGAAAGATTATTTAGTTTCAGAAATAAACTGAATATGTTATTTTATTTTAGGACCAAATGTGTAAAGTGTAGGTTTTTTGATATGTAAATTTAAATTAAGAATTTTTGTATTTTTTTTTCTCAGTGAAGATACGGGAGGTGGTTTCAGGTGGTATTAGCAATACCTTACAGCCATAGTCCCAACATGAAAAAGTCGAACTGGATCTAATCATCAGTTTTTCTTCTAACAATGGCTTTTTATTAGTAGACTTTATTTTTTAGAGCAGTTTTAGGTTCACAGCAAAATTGAGTGGAAGGTACAGAGGTTTCCCGTACACCCCCGTGCGCCCACATGCCTAGAGATGGTGGTTTTTTGATATGCTCGATTAAACACATGCAAATGAGGATCGAGTGAAGAGCATCTTGAGGTGAAACTATCATTATGCTTCTCGTTAACTTGTATTTTATCTGTTTCCCTTACATTACATACTGACCCGAGTGTAAAGCAAACAACATAAGACGATACAGGCAGTTAATCGCTGGCGATGGACAAGGCTTCGCCGAGCCTGGTGATCGGTGGGGGCCTTGCCTGAGCACCACTGATCACGCACATGCTCCCACGGGGGCCACCAGGAAGCTCACCCCACTCCGTTCCGTCCAACAAAAGGTTTAAAGGTGTATGCAGATAGCATTAGCCATCTTTGTCAACACAGACAGCCTTCGCCAAGGAGGTTCAAGAACCCTGTCTCCGAGATGTTTCTCTAGTTTCACGATGGAAAATCCTATGGTCCCTTCCAAAACCCGTTCACAGCCCGGCGGGAGTGGGCTTCTCTGGGGCCAGAAGTGTCATTCGACTATGTCCTTTTTCCTCCTAAAGCTTTCTCCCCATCCGCCTTTTTTCTCTCGTGAAATAGAACAGCAGGTCCTCAGATGATGCTTTCGTTATAAGATTGATGAGATGCTGTAGGAATTTAACTCTTGCTTCTGTCAGTCAGCCTGTGGTAAAACTGGGTTTTGTCTTAAGTCCTTTGACTTCAAGTCACAGAATCTGTGGGCGATGTTCAAGCGAGGACTTAAGTACTGTTTCTAAGCGCTCGGCTTCCTAGAAGCTCAGTGCTGCCACCTGCTGGGCCGTTTGTAAGACGTGCTTCCTTAGCTTGAGGAGTGAGGGAGGAGCAGCTATCATTCATTCAGCAGTCATAGAATGCCTTCAGAGCACCAGACGCCGGTGCAGACACTGAGGACTCAGCAGTGAGCGGGACAAGCAGGGCCTCGTTGAGCTGATGTTTGGCCGGACATTCCGCTCAGGCAAGCCCTTGCTTGCTTGTGTGGGCCAGTATAACAGGTGATCGAGAAGACCCTTCTGTGGGGCGGGGGGTGCCTAGGCCTCTTTTATTTATTGTCCCAGCACATTCTTTTGTTCTGAGGCCTTTTCCCCATTCATAGAACTAAAATACCTGAATGGAAAATGACTTTTAACTGTTCCCAGTTCAGGAGAATTGTCGAAAGTGTGTCCAGTCCCTCCCCTTATTTCTTATCCCACCTTGCGTAGTCTAAATAGCACATGACATTTTCGTTCTTGCTCTTTTTTTTTTCCCACGTGAAAAGGTAATTAAGGCTCCGTCCCATTTGGTGCTGTGCAGGGCGCGCCACGGGTTAGGACATTCTCGTTTTCCTCATTCACAGACGTCTTCAGAGTTAGACGGATGCACAGGCTTTCCTAGCGGAGGGGCATCGGGGCGGTCAGTGATGCCCCCGACTCTCCGGCCGGGGGACATGCCGTGCGGCAGCCCTGGCTCCTCGGGCTGTGAGGAGTGTTGCCAGAACACTCCTTGGTGGCCGTGACCCCCGCTAGCTGGGACGGAGCCCCCGGACCCATGCCAGTGTTTTCCCTGTGCCCCCGCTCCCCCAGGTTTGGAAACGACGTGCAGCACTTCAAGGTGCTCCGGGACGGAGCCGGGAAGTATTTCCTCTGGGTGGTGAAGTTCAATTCTTTGAATGAGCTGGTAGATTATCACAGATCTACATCCGTCTCCAGAAACCAGCAGATATTCCTCCGGGACATAGAGCAGGTGCCACAGGTAAGCCTCATCAGAGGGATAGAGATCACTTTTAGCAATGAATAGCTGCAAGCAGGTGCCTTGTCAAAGGATTACTTCTGGGGCATCAGCGCTCATTATTCAAAATGTCGCCCTTGATTCTCATTAAAGATTCGAAGTCTGAAGTGAAATAGTCTGCCTTTTCCAGAGGCTGCGCCTCCGAGCAGGTGTGTTTGCCGCCTGCGTTCCCAGGAAGGGCGGTCTTTGACTCGCTCAAATAGTCTTTCCTTGGGGACAAACTGTGGGGCAGTTTGTACTTTGAGGGAGCGAGGGTCACACCCCGTGTTTCTATTCCCGAAATCCTCCTTCGGTTCTGCTTAGCGCTGCCTTATTGTGGTCAAGCTCTTGACCTTCAACTCTAAAACCTTAGGATTTTTTAAGTGACGAAGTGATAAGAACTGAAGCATTTTCAGATCCTGGATTCTAAACAAAAAAACCCGCTGGCCGTCTCCAAAGCCCTTTCCCTGGAAGCAGCACGTGCTGCCCTCCGCCCGGCAGCTGGCCGGCGCCATGCGATCTGCTCCCAGAGTCCTGGCGCGGTGGCGGAGGGTCGCGCCACCCCCGCGTGCAGTGGCTCAGAGCGTGCGAACGCAGAGGGCGCGGGCAGGAGAAACGGGCTTGTTTCAGGAGGTGCCAGGAAGCTGGCGCACGTGCCCTCCCCCCGGTGACCCGCCGCCATCAGCATGTGATGCGTAACAGTGTTTCTCCTGCTCCCTCCCCACCCCCCCGCAGCAGCCGACATACGTCCAAGCCCTCTTTGACTTCGACCCCCAGGAGGATGGAGAGCTGGGGTTCCGCCGGGGAGACTTTATCCACGTCATGGATAACTCAGACCCCAACTGGTGGAAGGGGGCGTGCCACGGGCAGACCGGCATGTTCCCCCGCAATTACGTCACCCCTGTGAACCGGAACGTGTAGGAGTCGAGGGGAGAGTATTTAAAGAAAGCGAAACATGGAAAACACGTCCAAAAGAATTCACCCCACGAGCTGCTCTAGCGGCAGCCTGCGAGGGGCTCGGAACACCTTGCCGGGTCACCCGATGACCCTCTCACCTGGTTGGAACTTTGGGGGGTGGGAGGGGGAGTTGGATATAACAATGCCAAAACTTACCTATAAATTAAGAAAAAGAGTTTTTATTACAAATTTTCACCGCTGCTCCTGTTTCTCTTCCTTTGTCCTTTTTTTCATCTCTTTTCCCTTCTGTCCATCAGTGCATGACGTTTAATGCCACATATAGTCCTAGCTGATGCCAATAATAAAAGAAAAGAAACCAAGTGGGCTGGTATTTTCTCTATGCAAAACGTCTGTTTTAGTCAGAATGACTGAAGGAACAGCCGTTGCTGGGCGCTTCATGTACACACGCAGAAGCGGCGGCTTCTGCCCAAGGAGGGGCGGGCGAGTAGGAATCCGCCTTCCAGCCCCCACCCCAGTGTCTCCGTCAAAGTTGGAAACAGAGAGGGGGTGAAAGGAGGCAGCGTTGCCCCTTATGACTTCCTGAGAAAGTCAAGCTGAAACCCGTGTCTCTCTCTCTCCGCGTTTTTCCCTTCCGAATGGTATTACTGAGCATGTCGTTTTTTATAGTGCCTTTTTCCTTATTTCAAGGGTTGCTTATGAGTGGTGTTCTTTTTGTTTTGTTTTAAAATAAGTTAAAGACAGTCTAGAGCTTTTCAGCTGGTGTGTCTCCTACTCTGTGTAAATATTGTTCCCTCAGGGGGAGGGGAGAACAGGGTAGAGAAGAGGAGGCAGGTAGAAGTGCGGGCTGCGGGCATTCTGCGTCCTAAGGCAGGAGAGGTTAAGGTTCAGCTTTGATACCTGTGAGCCCTCCGGAGTTTAAAAGGCCAGGAGCCCAGGGTATCTGGAGTCGCTGCCCGGGCCGCGGTGTGACCAGCTGCCAGGGAAGGAGAGGCGACGGCTCTTCCCACGTTGGACTGGATCTGGCTGAAAGGGGGCTCAGTGACCTTGACCTTGCGGTCTCAGGTGCTGTCTACCCCCTCCTTAATCCTAGAGACCCTTAAGCTGCAAATCCCTCCAGCCAGCAAATTTCAAACACAGGAAAGCCCGAGGAATTTAAACTGTCACTTTGACTATATCGGGATATACCGTATTCCTACGTGGGGGTAGAAAATGAGTCTTCATTTTTCTTGCTCTGAAAGCCAGGGGTATCTGTTCATGCCTTTTACTTTTTGTGTCCCCACCTAACCTGCCCAGATGAGCCTTAGGGCAGCATCCAAGAAGCAGCTGGGTGGTTTTCGGTCTCATTCACAGCGGGCTGTGTTTATAGCTGCTCCACCCCAACCCCGAAACGGAAAGATTTCCGGGAAGCAGGGATAGCTGGGAAGGAAGGCTGGAAATGCAGGAAGGCCAAGCCCACTGCAGAGCGCTCTGTCTCCTGTCAGCTTCTTGCCCCTCGGAGTGATGTGCCTGTGACCTTTCTCTCTTCACCCAGTCCCCTTCTGACCACACCAAGGGGGCCGCAGAGTCATTGATGGCTTTGGGCTCTAACGCGGTCGTGGGCGTCTGCCCTGGACTCTGGTTGTGGAGCCAGACTGGGCCCAGGGCTCTTGGAGGCCCAAGAGGCGGCTGCTCTTCTGGACGGAGCGAGAGGCCTCTCGCTCCCTCTCTTGATAGCTTCTCCCTTCCCCGCTGGTAAAAGGAATCTGGCATTCTACACCTGGACCATTTGATTGTTTTATTTTGGAATTGGTGTATATCATGAAGCCTTGCTGAACTAAGTTTTGTGTGTATATATTTAAAAAAAAAAATCAGTGTTTAAATAAAAAGATCTATGTACTTAATCCTTTAACTCTGCGGATAGCATTTGGTAGGTAGTGATTAACTGTGAATAATAAACATACAGTGACTTCTTCACTCTGTCTTTTCTTTTTTTGCCCTCACTTAAAAAAAAAAAACAAAAAAAACAGGTATTAGGTCAGGGAGTCGGGACCCTTGGGGGGCATGCGGATCTCGGCGGGGCCCCTGGAGGAGTGATACCCACACTTGGCTGTTCATCCCAATCCTGGAGGAGCTTGTCCACAATGCAGATTCCCAGGTGCCACCCTCACGTACCCTGGGATTTGGGTGGAGGACACACCAGACGTGCTTGGTGTTCCAACAGAAATCATAGACCACACTTCGGAAACTCTGGTCTAGACACAGCTTTTGAGGACAACAAACGTGGCCGGCTTGGTCCTCGTGCCCTTGTGCCCCTCTCCCCGCTTCCCCGCTTAAGTAAAGGACCAGAGGACCCAATGGTCTGTGCCGAAGCAGCGTCGATGTGCTGAGTGACTAACTCATCACGTGCTCGGGAGGCTGCATTTAGCGTGAGACTAGGTCTGTTTATTTAACCACACACAGCGCCGGCTGCAGGAGACCAAATGAGATCTGTTCAGACAGCGAACAGAAACGAAACCCAAGGAGTTTCCACTTGTGTTCTCGGTCTAGTCCTAAACTCCCCAGCGTACGACCTCAGCTGTGCCTGTCCGGCTCCGGGAGTTTTCGGTCCCTTCTCTGCAGTGACCATGTACGAGAAGGAGCTCCCAGCACTGTCCTGCTGGGGGCCGCTGGTCGCACGGTCCACCTAGGCCAGCTACTCTGAAGCTGAGCAGTTTCCAAAATGAGCCATTTAAGTGAAAACTTAAGGCAGTGACTGTCAGTCTCATTGAGGCTTTTTTGTTCTGTTTGACTCATGGCCTCAGAATGGCATCAAAATGAATTGGGAAAATTGCTACTTTTGCGAGGTCTTTGGTTACAGATTTCTTGGTGATTGTATCACCCTCCAACCCTGGACGCCTGATTCCTGGGAAGGCACCTGGGTGGCACAGTTTGTGGAGACGTCCGTGGGACAGCTCGGCTACATTTGGTGCCTGAAAGCTGCGGCTGGGCGAGCGGCCACCAAGCCCCTGACACCGCTTTGCAGCTACAGCGGGGGTGCCCTCGTGACCGCTGAGCGCTTCCTACTCAGTGGCCTCGGAGTTCATAACAGGCTCATCTTCAAATGTAATCGTGGAAGGGACAGTGGTGACGGCTCCTACCAAGTGTTCCAAGGCGATCGATCTCTGCAACACCAGGACAGCTCAGGTGGCATGTTGGGGAGAGCCGACAGGCGCGAGCGGTCTGCCTTTCCTCGACCTGCCCCATTGCCCGGCTCACGGTAGGTGGTCTTCAAGTTGGAACGTTTTGCTTTACCAGGGTGCCAGGATAGGTAGGAAAAATGATAGTGGAATTGTGTTCGGGCACCTTGGAAATGCTGCTGACTCCTTAAACGCCGTTATTTATATGCAATGCGAATTCCCCCGATCTGAGTCCCGTGTACACTGAAGAACGAGGAGCTATCATCATACACACGGGGTGTGTGCATACCCGGGGCCATCTTAAACGTGGGCCCGAGGGTTATAGGCCCCTCACCCCAGCCAGTCTCGAGGCAAACGAGTCATGTGCTCCCTACCGAGGCGGCTGGCATCAAAGTCCTCAGTTACCGCTGTATCTCAGGTCAGTCGTCACGGTTAAGGAAGAAAGTGCCATTCAGTGTACCAACGGCACTGATGCCCATGAATACCGTCGTAAATGCTAGATGCTAGTGGTATTGATTAACCCACTTGCTACTCAAAAGCACGCCAAGCTCTAAAACTGATGGAGTTAGTTTAAAAGCTGTTCTGTATCCCGTCCAAAAAGATATTACCGAGACAATCTTTAGGACTTGATTCTGGCCCAGCCAATGAGCATCATATGTCTCGGGTCTCCAAGGATGATCCTATTTTTCAATACAGGCAGACCTCGGATGTATTGTGGGTTCGGTGCCAGACCACACAGTAAAGAGTTGGAATCTTTGCTGGCGAAGGGTCTTGCTTTCAGTTTGTTTAAAAAAAAAAAAAAAAAAAAATGCAGCATCTGTAAAGCACGATCAAGCAAGCACAATAAAATGAGATCTGCCTGTATTCCATCCGCTTGTCAGAACCGGGGTTTAGAAAGCAGCCGTTGCAGCTGTCCCCCGAGACCGAACACTTCAACAGGGCCTGCCTCGCTCCAGAATCACTGCGTCGTGAGGGCTGCCAGCCCGTGCAAGCGCCCTCCCTCCCATCCGAAGCGTAGAGTGAAGCGTAGACTGGCCCCTGCTCTCACGCCCCCCCCTTCCCATCCTGTGCTAGGGAATCAAAGGGCATGGAACGCCCCCTTTTCTAGGTACCCTGTCCAGGCGGTGGGTCACCATGGTGAACTGCGTTCCTGGGGGGTGTGGTGTTCTCTTTTGGCTCTGAAACTGGAGGCCCCTCTCCCGGCCATGAGAGGCTGAGGGGACCCGTTTACATCCCCCCCGCCCCGACCTTGCCTGATGAGTGGCACGGTGGAGGATAAGTTTTAGGAATTGCCGACGTGCGGTGGTGCACGGAAGAAATCGGGATAGCCCGGGGGAGGCCGTCGAGGTCGTGCTAGCTTAGGGAATAAGGAGCGGTGGCAGAGCCCTGCCAGTTCTCATCCCTCCGGCCAGCCACCCGGACTGCGTGCCAGCCTTCTGTGGCCTGCTGTGGCCTGCTGTGGCCGAGTCCCGGAATTTGAGCGATACGTGCCACTTCTGGGCTTGGCCGGCCCATGTGGTCCTCCGCCTTCTGCCCCTGCTGCTGGCCGGATGCAGGAGAACCAGCGACGCCTCTGCCCGCTCCCCTGCTACGCTCGGCTAGTGAGTTATTTCTCCTCACCACCCCGCAGACCTCAGGGCTCCTGGTCACAGCCCCCAACCCTGAGTATCCCTAGGCCACACTGGGGATAGTGACGAAGGGAGGAACTTGAGAGGCCCAGCTGAAGTGTTAAGTTTGTGGGGAGGAAGCGGAATTGCTCATTGTGACCTAAAATACGGGGAGCAGACGTGAGACCAACGACCCCCCAGCAGACCGGGCGGGCTCGTGGGGCCCGGCTCTGCTCGGAGGCCGCACTGCTCCGTGGGGCGTCCTGCCCCTTCTCTCACTATCCCGACCCTCGGGTCCTGGTTCAGTCACTGGGCAGATGTTTGTCGAGCTCGTCAGGTGGCTCGGTCAGGCCTCGCTCAGAGAAGCCCTTCTAACCGTGAGGGGTCAGCAGTCACCGGCCTCCAGGGCTTTCTGTTCCTCCCGCGCTGTTTTTCTGTCTAACGCTCCCCGTCCCTCACCGTGGCTCGCTGAGCGCGTGCACTCTGCCCGCTGCCCCCGCCAGACTGTCAGCTCCTCGGGGCGGGGACCCGGCCGCTGCGACGCCCTCGCACCGGGAGAGTGCCAGAAACATCCTGGCTGCCACGATCATCATCCGACGTAAGACGCTGCTCCGAAGACGAGTGACGGATGGTGCCAGCGTGCCCGACCTTGCTGTCTGCGGGGAAGACGGCCAAATGATGACTCAGTGAGAGGAGTGGCGTGATTAAGGGGAGTTCGGGGGACATTCGCGACTCCCACCCGTCTCGCGGCCGGGGAAAGCCAGACAGTGGTGCATAAACAGAGAGCTGAACGGAGCAGGGCGGTCGCCCCGCGGAGAGGAAGGACTGTGTTCTGGGAAAGGACACCTTGGGGCAGGAGGCCCTGCCATCTCCAGAAAGAGCTGAGTGGCGAGGGAGGGACACCAGACCCCAAGGAGGGGCTGGCACAGGGAAGGGCACAGGCCAGAGGAAGCCGGGCCCACGTCAGTCACAGGAAGCAGCTGGAAGTGGGGTTTGGGGTTTGGGAGTTTTTTAAAGGATCACTTTATTGAGATACAATTCACTTGTCATACAAGTCACCCATTTAACGTATACCATTCAATGGTTTAGTGTTATTCACAGAATTATGCAATTTTGGAATATTTTCATCACCCCAGAAATAAACCAGCCACTTCCCGTTTTCTCCCAGCCCCTCCTAGGCCCAAGACACCGCCGATCTGCTTTCCGTCTCGAAGGAGTGCCTATCCCGGACTCCATGTAAATGGAATCATACAGTATGCGGCCTTTTGGGTCTGGCTTCTTTTGCTCAGCGTGATGTTTTCAGGGCCCAGCCGTGTGAAGGCGGGTATCAGGACTTCACTCCCTGTCGGGGCTGAATAACACCCCGCGGTGTGGAGAGCTCGCGTTTTGTTCACCCATTCGTCCCACGATGGACATCTGGGTCGTCTCCATTCTGGCTGTTGTGAGCGATGCTGCTGTGAACATCCACGTGCCAGGTTTTACGAGGACAGGCCCTGGAGGATTCTGAGCACAGCAGACACACCTCTGTTTGGCTAGAACAGGGGGTGATGTAAGAGACCAGCGTAGTCGTTCTGGCGAGATGGGGGCGGCAGGAGGAGCAGAGAGATGCTGGTCGTATTTAGTAGGACAGGTGGCAAGACAGAGGAGGTAAAGGAGAAGGAGGGGTGACCTTTTAACCCTTGCTTGAGCAGTGGGGGACCCGGGGTTGCCATTGATTGAAATAGAAACCCCTGGAGTCAGGGGAGCGGGGGGTGGGGGGGCAAAGGGCTACACAGGTCGGGTTTGAGATGCCTGTGGACAAACGTCTAGGAGCAGCAGAACATGTCACCTGTAGCTCAGGAGATGAATCTGAGCAGGGAACCTGGAATCTCACCTCCTTGTGAGAATGGAGGTGGCCCCGAGGCCATGACCCTGGGTGAGGCCTCACGCTCCCCACTGTCCACGAGGAAAGGGAACAGGATGCGGGGTGAGCCCTGAGCTCAGGCCAAGCCCTGAGGATGGGACAGGGGAAGAGGAAGGAGCAGCGAAGGAGACGCAGGAGGGGCCGGACAGGCGGGAGGCAAACCACGGCCACTCGCCGCCAGGGCAGCTTGCTGTGTGTCCAGGGATGCTGCTCTAAGGACATGCTCCCTGTGGCCGTCCCTGGCCAGGCCCCTTGTCCCCTACCCTGTCTCTTCCCCTAGCTGATCCA